TATATATATATTACGAGTGACGTGGAGAGGCTACTGAATCGTTACGAGATTCATTTCGCAGATGGCGACGACTCTTCATTCATGAATGGCGTTTGCAACAATTATCTCCGGTTAAAACGTCATTAGCGACGTATTATCTCTCTCCAATGCATCTTTTCCCCTTTTCTCTACCCGATTCAGATTGACTCGTGTGTTTCCAGAAATGCAGAAAATTTTACGCTCCGAAAATACTCGATGCTTTTAACCCAAAATTCATCGATTTATATGAATCGTTATTTTACAACAAAATTGTTAATTCTATAAAGTATATATAATTTTATTAGATAAGAAAGAGAAAAGTATTTTGCACACCTTTTTATCTCTCGTTTGAAATTTTGCATTTTACCATATATGTAAACATTTCTTTAAATTTTTTATTGGAAAAAGAGTAGTAGATCAAACGTTATTTCGTTCGCTGCTTCCTCTTCTTCTCAAGATCCTTCCCATCTTTTGTAGATATTACGAAGTTCCCAGTATCTAAAAATAAATGCATCATGTTAGAACTTTTAATAAAAAGAAATGATACCTTCTTAATCGCGATACTAGATGGTCGAATCGTTAAATAAATCGCAATTTCACCATTAAAATATTAGCACAATGTATTATTATTATATAATAATTCACATGGAAAAAGTAGATAGTCCAATTTTCCACCAATTTTACTTTCAAGCATTAAAGTAACGTTTAATTAAAAATTATTAAGACGTTGGTTACTAAAAGGGAGCAAAAATAAGGAAGCGAATAAAATATTTGTACGTTAAATGAAGGCAAAGAAGAGTCTCGAGAACGCGTGTATATTTAATTACAGACGTTGGATGAGCAGTTACTGCTTAGAGCCCTGAGTGGTCCTAGGAATACAAGAATCTCACGGTCCACGGAAAACAGCGACGAGGCGGATGCGCCGATACGGTATTGTTACAACTCGGCCTGCGGATGGGCGGTCTATCATCCGTACATGCGCAGCATTGAATATTTCATGAAAAACACGTAAGTAAACTATGCGTTATTAAGGTACGATAATGTTAATTCGATATACAAGCTTTGAGAAATGGGGGATTTTATGCAACGCGTTTATATGAAATTGTCTTACGAGGTGGAATCAAAAGTTCTATTATACTCTGAAAAAGTCGAAGTAGAAATTACGTGCCGAGTTTTATTTTATTTCGCGAGTCAAAATTAATTTAAGGACTTTTCCGTGTATTTTTAAATGATAATTAATGTCTAATAATAATTAATGTCATAATATAATATGCGATTATTAATATTTTAGTTTGTTTAAATATTGACTAATTTTGCAATACATATATCTGAATCAAAAATATGAAAATTTAAGTAAATGCTTTAAAAAAGAAAAGAAATTTTTCATAATTTATATGTAACTAGACTTAATAATATATTTTTGTTATCTAGATACTAAGAAAAGTATTTCTTTTTAAAGACGCGACACAAATATTTAACGAAATTACTGAAAATATAAAAGATGAAACAGTCGTCAAAAGATTTAATAAATCAATTATCGCGTATTTTCTCCGAACTAATTTTTTAAACTATAAAAAAATGTCCAGATTATAATATCCGACAGATCTCCGTTTATCAGTTACACGGAAGAGAATCGCGTAGGAATATAATAGCGCGGACGGACTCAGATTATTCGACACGCATCGGAAATACATAATAAATTTCTGACGGATTCTCTCGCTTTGATTTATACAGCTGCGACTGCCCGGACACGAGCTACAAGTGCGTGCGCTCCGGCGACGACCTGTCCGCGAGCGCGTACGTGTACCGCTGCCGCCAGAACACGACGGCGGACGACATCGAGTTTCCGGAGGACGCCAACTGAGACGAGGCCGGCGGCATCGTCGCGGGGCCTCCCCCTCGCGTGGTCACGCCAACCTGAGATTAGCGGGCGCGACGCGCGACGTCTTCGCGATCCATCACCGCCGGGCTCCTCGACGTAATTAGCCCTCTACGCTAATGTACGCTTCCGAAAGCGATCATCTCTACCCCACCATCTGATCAGCTCCTAGCTTCGCTAGAGCGAGGATCAACGGATCGAGTGACCACCGGGTTCCTCCGCTATTGTCAAAGTTCGAATTAGGTACTTACGAGTACAAATGGAGAGCGCCAGGCGCGACAAGCATATATATAGTTAATTCCCATTTGGACTAATAATCTTACAAATGAAAAGAAGGGAACTTTTTTAACGCGCGATATGCAGAGTATATATTAACACATTAGGCTCCGGTACAAATGTCCACATTTTAAGCTCGCTCGATTTATCGTCATCGATATCATTTCCCGATGAATCCAAGCGATAACTAAAGAGTCTAACGAATCGTCTCTATTCATCATAATTTTTGATCATAATTTTTTTATTTTTATTTGCACTGTCGCGATGTACTTCAAATTTCATGCCCATTCATCGATTCGTCTCTCTCTCTCTCTCTCTCACTGGATATTTTATATAATTAGCGATAAATAGCGGCCTTATAGTAATCGGTAATAAAATATATATCGGATAAGAAAATATGACGTTAACTGTACAAAAGGAAAGAAGTTTAGTATACGTTTTCGCAGGCACGTTCATCATTTGAGCAACAATCGTACGATTTAAACGTTAAAAAATCCGACGTCTCCTCCTCCATCATCTGTGTGTATAGGATTTAGATATAGATCGAATAATTCTAAAGATTTATCGATGCAGGCTAACGGTCTAATTTATAGCTACATTACGTTATTATTGATTATGCCAAAAAAAGAAGCTATGACAACCGCGAAATTAATGCCGATTTCGCTACAATTTGATAGCGAATCAACTAAATATTCAATTCGCATAATTTGCAACTATTCGGATCTTATTCCGATTATTAGCCTATATTCGATATGATTCTCGACTTGTAATAAAGTGCAAAATCAGACGTATATATAAATGTAGAAAAATACCTTTTACAACGCGCTTACATATTTCTTCACCTTACATTTGTACTTAATCGAAGAAGTCGTTACGAAATAATCAGAAAAAGAAAATGATTCTTCCTTTTCGTATAATAATGTATTATTTATAATGAGAAATTTTAACTGCGGTCGTCCGTATCCGTTACTTAACGATCATGCGAGTATCGATATGAATACGAGCGTAAGTCGTTTTTATCCGTGACCTTTTGCTTTAATCGCACGGGTAAAGTTGTCGAACTGTCGACCACAAAATTGCGAACAAAGCAGATCATGCATGAAACGCACATATATACTATATGCGTAAGCATCGCGTAATCTTTCACAAACTCGATAAAGAGGGAAAGAAAATGTGGACCAAACGAACTGAAACGCAGTGTGTCAAAAAATTCGCGCGAAGCACAAGTAATATATATTTTAAGTCACGGAAGTAATTTTTTTTTTAAAGCTACAGCTATACCAAACTATTGTCATATTTTTGATAATAGCATCAAAATCACGTAAATTCAACTGCGGTGAACGAAACTGGTAGCGGTACCGGTTTAGTACTGATTAGTCTTGATTTCGATACGCACATTCTGGAAAAATAAGGTACCACACGTTTCTCTCAATCTGACTCGGAACTCGTAATACAGATGTATGAAAACGTCTCAAGGAGACGAGCTTAGATTAAGAATAAGAAATAAATATTTTCATTTCGTTGTATTCGCATACGCAACATTTCATTTGTTATGTAATATACAGGAAACGTAAATTATAATTACGCGATTAAATATCGCGATCGATGTATTGTATAAATATTGTCTCTAATTTTATCACTTTTAATATAATAAAAACTAGTTGCAAAACTTGCGACTATTCTTCACTATTATTTTTCATACATTTCTTTTCTCCTCTATATTTATTGCGTATTCCTATAAAAAACCCGTATCCGAACCCATTTATTTTGAGAGAAGTATTATTGCACAACACAAAAAGGGGATAAGAAGAAGAACGCACAAGCTGATGTGTATATATATATATATGAAACTACGGGGAAAAATTGCCAACAACAAAAACAGCGCTTCTTAATATTATAATATATAGTTTTATTAATATTATAATAATATTATTTTTGTGTGCAAAATATATATCAACATTAAATTATTATCTCGAGTAGTAAAATTGCCTGTACATTGATTTTTGATATACACATAAACCTTTAAAATTAGCAATTTTTCTCGTAAAATACAGTAATATAGTCAGAAGTATAATCAGACATCGGGAAGACCGCGTTCCTCGTCCCTCTCTCTTTTCTTCGTTTGGTGTTAAAAAATTAATTGACCGGATAGAGAAGTGACGTTAAAAGGATAAATGGCGAAATGTTCGATTCAAATTAACAAGTTGAATAAATCGGAATAAGCCCTAGACGGCTGCACATTTACAGCGCTTACGCGTTTTAAGCGCGATTAGAGTGAAAAAATATATATTTTTTAATGAAGGCCACCATACATATACTATGAGCTGAATCTCTGGATATAAATTGCCAACTTGTTAATTTGAATTATATATTTTAACATTTATCCCTTTTTTATTTTTCTCTCTCCTGTTCCCTTCCCCTTATTTCTCCTTCCCTCTTGAGGCTGTGGCTTCCTCTCTTTCTCTTTCTCCACATTTATTTCGCCGACGAGGAAATGCTTCAATAAATATACAACCACAGTATCGTGCATTAGAATTACAAGTATTACGGTATGTATAATGTATAGTACGACTACATTATATATTATATTATAATTAAATATCTAATTTTATCTTATTCTTAATCTAAGTTTTCTTTTATCGAATAGAAAGTCACATACACACATATTTGTAGAAGAAGCAGGGAGAACGAAACTCCACTTAAATATATGTAATTGCCATATAGACGCGTGTTTACCCAGAAAATGATTTGTGCTCGTGTCGCGCGCAAATATCATTTTTACACCGTTTTGACTAAGCTCCGCTCACACAGATATTTGCGGATCACACATGCAGGTTCTTATAATGCTCTTATAACGTGCTGTAAATTATGTGCTGCCGAGAAATCGCACTTTATTGCATTTATGACATTATATACTAGAAAACTGACATAACACGATTAGACGTGTCGTATGATCGCGCGTGATAGGTCAATGACACTTTCCAGCCTTAGCCTTCCACGCTACGTTGATTTTCAGCGTACTCGACTCTATCGCACTGCCCAGGAACATTACCGTTTCTACATCTTTAATGGTTCTACGTTGCGGCCTGGAGGGCGAATTGAACATAAACTCTAAAGTTTCCTTTATACATATCTATACATTTTTTATATATACACGTGTGTTTGTGTGCATGTACATACATATGTGTATATATATAT